GCTCTCAGCATTCAGGCCAAGGCACTCAAGGAGTCTGGAACCAACACACGGTACTGGATTGTCTCCGTAAGGTGCCTTCGCACATGCTGCGCTTCTGCATTATGGGGCCTTTATACTTGCCACCTTCTTCTTGCCTTTCAAGCACAGGAGACTACCCATCCCTCCCTCCTGGAGCACCCGGTTGGTGAATCTGAACCACCTGCCTTTGGGTTGGCAGCACAGCTCCTTACCCACTAGGCCACCAGAGCTCCCTAGTCTACCCTGACATTGGAATTGTAGTGTCTCTTATTCTGTCCTCATCAGGCTAAATTAGACTCTTTAATCTGTTCCCAGGTTTGGAACCCAAAACTCATTTCCAGGCAAAGTTCTTTTGAGAACACTGTCCATTGAGGAACTCGAGTTCCCTCTTCCACATGGTCAGGTTCAAGGTCATTCTCTTTCATATCTAAGAGACCAAGACAACAATGGACCTGCCAACAAAAACTGACTTGCATTCCAGCTGCGGCTTAGCATAAAATGTGCGATTTCTTAAAGGCTAAAATGTTTTTGTTTTTTTAATCCAATACTGATTCAGGTTGCCTTGCTTTGCTTCCTGTCAGGCCTGCTATTCCCCGTCCTCATCACTGCCTTTAATCACCGCTGTGATTGCAGACTCCATTCTCTTTCTTCTCTTCTCTTAGATCTTGTCAGGTTTCCCATTCTCAGCTTTTCCAACTCAGCAACCCTGCAGGACAGAGTAGAACCGTAGAACCACCCACAGCATTTCCCAGGATGTAAATCCTGTTGGGAGCAGCTTACCTCATCTTTTTGGTATGAAGTGTATGATGCATTCCAAGTGCCACACTTTCTGGTCTGCAGCCAGGTGCTTTAACCACGATGACACCAGGGCTCTTTATTGATAAACATGCTCAAATATTACTCGCTGTCAAGTCAGAACCAAAGCACAGCTGACCCACCTCCGGGTTTCCGAGGTTGTAAATCGCATGTGGAAAGGCTATCTTTCTCTCTCAGGGTTGTTTGCTAGTGCATTGGAACCAGCAGTTCAGTGTTTGGGTTAGCAGCCAAACTCCCTTAAGCCACTAAAGCTCCCTCAATAAAAAGTAGCACAACCATTTAAGACTCACTGTGCATTTTTGTGCATCTAAAATGATTAGAACCATTTAAAACCTGATATGTGCATTTCTGTGGCTCTAAAGATTGGCTGAATAAATGAGCCTGAATCATGTAGGTCTTAGAATATGTGTGTTGGATACGCATTATTAATGACACACGAAGTACAGAGTTCATCATTCTTAATATATGCACACTGAAGACTTGTAATTTGAGAGCTACATAGAAAACAATAGTGTACTGTTCTAATTCAATCCAGAGTATAAATGTGATTGTTGCAAGAACTGGGCAGATTGGATTTAAGAGGATTAAGTTTGGCTTTTTGAAGTAAATTCAGAAAGGAGCAAAGGAAATGACCTTCATACTGTAACAAGTCAATTCAGTTGTCCATTAAGACATCTTCATTCACTCAGCTTGTCCAAGAAGGAGTTAGGGCACCACTAAGTCCATTTTAACTGAACTCAAGCTTCTGAAGTTTGGACAAATTCTATCATGAATAGCTGTTATTTACAGAAAGTCCTATTGAAGCCTTGCTGATGTACAGACTAAAGATAAGTGTTACCTAAAGTCTCTTGCTTGGATAAAGCTAACAGTAACCCATGTGTTGGACCACTGAACTGGGAAAGTCATTCGATGTAGTGCTATCCTTGCTTGAATAAAAGCAGAAATACCCAAGTCAGTCACCCAGCCCAATCCTAATTCAGCAGTCAGCATTTTAATACCTACTTCCTTCCTCATCCCTCATGATAGTAATAGCCAATGCAGCAATGAAAACCATCAATAACCAAGATAGGCCATTTCTTATAGATACTAGCTCGACTGTTTAAATCTTAAAACTAGCTGACAGGTATAGAAAGGTCAGTAATGAAGGAGTACCCTGGGATCCCTCCACTTAATTTCACCATGAAAAATGTTCATTGATTTAAAGATTGTACCACTGAGTACAAAACATAAACTCTCCCCTGCAAGTATATTTACCAAGTTAAAATTGTGCCGCAACTGAATAGCTTTCTTTAGAATTGTTCATCAAAAAGATAGCTTTTGAAAAAGAGCCCTAACAAAGTTCAACATGTTATGTGCTGTCGAGTTGTTTGCGACTCATAGCGACCCTATGTACAACGGCCCTAACTAAACCGTTCTAGCCTATGCCAACCGCACTGCCTGACACACACCCATCCCGATTACCCCAGTCACTGAATCAATCCATCTCATAGAGGGTCTTCCCCTCTTGCGCCGTCCCTCCACCCTCCCAAGCATGATGTCCCTCTCCAAGGACGAAGCCCCAGAATGCTTGCCTCCAAGCAAGTTCAACATAGAACTGCTATGTTATGTGCCCTTGAGATGACTGTCACAGTGACTCTATGAACAGTGGATCTGACCCCTGCCCCATCCTATGTCATCCTCACCATCTCTGACATGCCTGAGCCCTTTACTACAGTAATTCTGTCAATCCATCTTGTGGAGGGTCTTCCTCTCCTTTGCTGACCCTCCACCATCCCAAGCATGATGCCATCCTCCAAGGCCTGGCCCCTCCTAACATGTCCAAGGTACGTGAGATGAAGTCTGACCATCCTAACTTCCACGGAGCACTCTGGTTTCACTTCCTCTAAGACAGGCCTGTGATATCCTACTTCATAGGGAACTGACTCTTAGTATGTTAAAAAATATGAGTCAATCTCAAAAAAAAAGAAAAAATATTGTTAAGGAAATGCAAGACTATGATTCCACTGACATGTTATCATTTACAAGCAACAATGATCTATGAGAAATGTCAGATCAATCACTGCGGGAGGAGAAACTTAACTAGAAAAGGCCATGAAGGAGGGTGACAGAATATTCTGTTTTTATTGGGGAGATTACAGAAACTCAAAACTAAACTTAAAATCGATGCATTGTTAAATGTAAATTGTATTTCAATAAACAAAAAAAAGTTTACTACTTGTCTGTTGAATCCTTAAGTTAAATATACCACTACAGAAAGCATCTAATGACTACTACCATTAAAAAAAAACAAAAAAACAATAAATATAGGCATTCAGAAAGCAGGTATGAAGTTTTAATTTACTGTAGGCATTTCAATGACCATTCTCTTTATTATATACAAACATATATGTCTACACACAAATTAATCTTTTATAAGACAGTTTTCCTACCAAGTACTGTGTACCATACCAATATTTCATTTAACAAGAATGATATAAATACCATGAACCACGATGAAATATAAATACAGAAGTTGAATACATACGCTAGAAAGTTTAAATAATAAAAAATTTAAGGCTAAATACCATGAAAGTTTACATATTCCTTACTTCTAGTTATTGTGTCACAGTGACAACCAATTACAATAAATTCACAACTGCTTTTAGATGATAGGACATTTGGATTTCTAATACCCAGCTATTCCCACTTCCACAATGATAATAACCACGCTGTGCATTTTCATAGCTATAGAGCTGATCAGTTTTTTTACTACATACCAAGTTTCTTGTGCAACAATAAGATCTGGATCACAACCAAGGGAAACCAACTATATTTACACTGTATGATGTCGATGAGGCTTTATTAAGAATATATTATACAACTCTTCTGCCCAAGAGAAGTTCAAATAGTAGCTAAAAAAGGAGTTAATTATTTGCCACTGCAGTCCACAGAGATTTCATGAAAAGACAAATTCTCTGTCAAAACATCTAGAAGTAAAATATATAGGACAGTATTTCTCCTCCAAAATATTGCCTGGGAAAAAAGTTCCAAGCAGACATAAAAAAATAAAAATAAAACTCAGTAAACAAACATTATATGATCTGAGCTGCAATCTTCCTGAGTCTATTTTCAACTGGAACAAATTTAGCAGCCAGTAATGTGTTGCTTCAGCATCCAGCCCAGAGGGAGCCCTTGAACAGTTAGTTGACATTCTACCAAAAAAGTCTGAAAGGACTCCTAAGTACTATCCAACCAACTACACAACGGAAAGCTGATGTTTTACATTAAAATCTGTATGAATATCCAACAGAGGCAGAGTCTTGTTTTTTAAACAGTGATGCTAGAATAAGCAAAGGAAATTATCTGCACAGCTGTACACAGATCACCATTTAACAAAGGATCAAAATGCCATTTGCTGCATATCAAATAAGCTCCCCAAAAAAAGCCGATATTTATTTTCATTTACTTTGATACGGCATCTAGAAGGGATTGTGTATGATTGGGGAAGACTGCTGCAAACACCACTTGATGCTATTAAGGGTTCTATCTAAGCATCAGGCATGCACAATAGTTACCTTTAAAAATTTCTCATCTATTATCTTAACACTTCTATTTATAAAGCTATAGTATGTTTAAAGCACTTAGTAATTTTTAAACCAAATGTCTTATTTGACCTAGGGAAAAAAGAAAAAAACTTCCTTCTTCTCAATATTCAATGGTTAATATTAAATCCTACTCTTCAAACTGAAACGTATTTTATATGTCTTCCCTGAAATTCCAAAAGGGATGAAAACTGTTAGCACTACTACATTAGAAAGTATGATTTCCAGCAGCAATCTCCCCACCTCACCCCTCCAACATGCCAAGGCTTTAGAGATGACACAGTAAGAACTGATGATTTCTGGCAGCTACTGTAGGCAGTAATGGTCTTTACCAGCTTCCCACTTGTATTCTGCATCTTTTTATTCCAAACTAAAGTTTTCCATTAGAAAAAAAAATGGTTTTTTTACATTTGCATCAACATAATAGTAAATAAAACAAAAAAAAGTTTTACTGTCTTCAAATGTGTGGCAAAGTAGAAAATATTTCAATTACCTCAAGACATCAGGAATGGGGAAAGCAACAGTTTGTTCTTCCATATAAGAAGCCTTTCAGTAACATTATCACAAAAGCTTACAAGTTCAGACTGCTTGGTTCTTGGTCATTTATGGCTTGAGTACTGGATTAGAAAACCATTTCAGGCAAAAATAAAATTTAGTGAATAATGCATAGATTGGAAATCAAGCACTAAATAATGCCATCATGTATACCCGAATCAGAGTGAAGAAAGGGGTCTGAAGGTTTGAATTGTAATATTCCTTCCCTTTTGTCATGAGAATATGCCTAGAAAGATTTCTGCTTTTGGCCCATTCAAGATCCCATTGTTAGGCCATCTTGATTTTCTTAGGTGTCTTGAGGCACCTTCAATAAATAGGGGAGCCTTGAGTATAGGTGTGGGAGATCCTAACTCGGCAGAATCAGACCCTCAGGGTTCTGCCACCCTAATGAAAAGTCAATCTGGACTTGCCAGAGTATCAAGTGAGTAAAGGCTTAGAATGACCCACTAGCAAGCACTGTTCTTGATAACCTTTTCCAATCTATCTGCTCTTCAGAAGTATTTTGTTTAAGAATTGTCAGGGGAGGAGTCATTCACTATTCCTGGTTTTGATATGCTCCTACAACATGAGAATTGAACTGAACAACAATTATTGTAATGTCATCTCTGTACATTCGTGCAAGCTCTTCAGGGAGACTAAGCATTTTGGAAAGACGCTCATGATCAACAGCTCCAAACTCATTGTTGCCAACGGCATGGCGAATGAGATGGGTCGCTGCGTTCTGATCCTCGAACACTGAGGACATCTTGGCTCTCCTTTCTGTCAAAAGGCCATGCATCTGTCCCAGAGTCACCTTGTAGCCACCAACAGCTATAGGCTGTTGGTGATGCATGCCAGTTAAGTACTCACCCACAATTCTAACCACATCCTGCCTATGCATGGTCTCCCACAAGCCATCAGTGGCCAACACCAGAAATTTATCCTGTGGCCTTAGGCGATGGTAAGTAACCTCTGGCTCAGCAGTGAGATAAGGAGGTGTGTAATAATTGGGAGGGATAAACTTGGTATATTCATTGTCATTCAACTGGTCTGGGCCAGATTCTATCACTCTCTTTTGAAGGTCAATGCTCCATTTGAACTTGACATCTCCAAAAGCCCTGAAAGGCATGAGCAAGCCAAGCAGCCGATCTTGTTTGACCACACTCTTGGCCTCATTCTTGGGGTGTTCCAATTTCAGCCGGTCCAGTTCGCTCTGATTCTGGGCATTGTGGTCATTAGAGAGAGTGACTGCTGACCAAGAGCCATCCTCCTCCTGCACACCCAGCATGGCTCTGCTATCCCCAGTATTGGCCACATGAAGGTCTACACCATCCACATGGGCCACACAAGCAGTGGCCCCGGAAAATGCCACTCGAAGCACCAGGTAGTTGAGGAAAGAATTGGGATCACCGACTTGGGCCTCCAAAGAGATGTCATTATCAAGCCTTTTGAAGGCATTTATTAAAGCCTCCTTAACATCAATATCAGTTGACTCTCCAGTGTTGAGGTCTATAAGCTCTTGCCAGTAAGTCCTTAAGCTGTTGAAGTACAATTTAGATGCTTCCTTACTGAAGTAATCATTAGGGTGCTTATGCCATTGGAGAATGGGTAGGAGTGCTCGCCCACTCTCCACTGCATTTTCAATCTCTAACAAGGTCTCATGGGGCAACAAAGAGACAGCAATATAATAAAAGAGTCTTTCACTGACTGCCTGGGAACATGCACAGCCTGCATGGCCATCGAAAACCCCCAAGAGCATCCCTCTGGTCTGCAGGCAGGTTGCTGCGCTTCGCCGATCCTCAATTGGTGCATTTGCAGGCAACTGGTTGCTGTCAAACCCTAGGACAGAACTGACATTTTTGCCATCAAATTCTGGCACTTTAAAACTATATTCATTAGCTTTTAGGATGCTGTTGACCTGCGGAGGTGTGAGGTAAAATTTCTGTGGCGTGGAAGCATATCTCCTTCCTTGGGTGTAATGCCACCAGTTCTCTTTCGGCCTGCAAAAGGTGGCATATGCTGGATGCGGCGTGTATCTCAGGCGACTCGGAGGAATGTGGGGTGATGAGCAGCAGAAGTGCTTGTGGTGACAGTAACACACAGTGCCATAGATTCTGCTCAGTTCACAGTTACGGATCAGGGGGAAAAACAGTTGAGTTGGTGCTGGCATGGCATCAGAAAACAGTGGTAGGCTGGAGCTTCTGACTGGGATTCCTAGACAGCAAGTTAGACAAACACATAAAAAGAAAAAGAGTTACGGCCGAGATCACCTAATCTATCATGGCTCTTAATAACTGCTTAGCTGGCAAATCTGCATCAGGGGTTTTACTAGGAGGTACTATATTTTAATATAATCAGGTACTACTTCTCTGTAAGATATATTCTATTGAATGTAACTCAATATCATGTATCAAGCCAGGCCTGAAACACAGTCTAGCTTCACTTTTCCCTTTTCTCCCACACCTTATTTCTTTGTGCAGTACAAACTGTGCCGAATGTACAATAAATTTGGTTGGGGAAAGGAAAGGAAAGGAGATGAAGGTTATATAACATTATGCAACAACAGTCTACCTGGCCAATCATCCTTTTCCCCTTATATCCTGAGAAAAGGTTGTGCATCTCCAATATCACCAAACCTTTTCCTAGTTTATAAGCATCCTGTTTCCAGACCCAAGTTGATCGCCAACATTTGATTACACAAGACTGTTTTAAAGAAGTATTAAGATACATCCCCCAAACATACGTATTTATATATTAGTTGTGATTTATATACATACCCAATGTATTACGATCGTATTCCTTATAGCATACACAGAAAATAACATTTTAATCATAAAACAGCAACAGATATTTCAGCTCTTTTCTTCCTGTACCCCAGTGGATGACGCTGCAAACTCTGTTTTTCTGAACCACTGCACGGATCTAAGGGACTCCGATCTGCCACTTACTCATCAAACCCTGCGGAGCCAACTCCCCTGCCTGAATCCCAACTTCCCAAACGTAAGTGAACAGAGCAGACAGATGCTCTCTAGGGCCTCTTTGAACATTATGTGCCTTCTTATGGTTTCTGTGAGTTTTGAAATCAAATGCAGGTTCCAGTTATTCCTTGTTTAATTTTACTGTGCCTTTTATTATTTTTTTTTAAGGACTCATCTCCCAGTAACTCTAAAATTTTGTTAATAACATAAATTATCTCCATTCTGGAATTTCACTTACTTGCTAATTTCGTCCCTGTTCAAGGAAACGCAACAAACTCAACACACTGCATGAACCAACTCATAACTGACCTTCCAGAGGGTTTTCAGAAACGGAAAATGGCACAGAAGGAGACTGCTCCTCTTTCTCTCTCAGAGTCCTTGGATTTGAATGGCCAGAGAGGCACCACCTTTGGTTAGCAGCAAAATTCCCGGTGGGCTCTGCCAACACAGCTGAAAGCTACAAAATACTGTTTTCATCTATATGGATCTCAAAGAAAGCTCTGTCTATGACATTGTCTGTAGGAAGTTGTGCTATTAACCCAAAGGTCAAAAACCCCTCTGTGGGTTCAAATTCCTTCTGTGGAAAAAGGGTGGGAAATCTCCTCCTGCCCAGTTTACAGACTTGGAAACCTGTGGTAGGTTCAGCTATGAGTCAGTTCTAATTTGATTGTGTGGAGAGAGAGAAGTAGAAGCCCTGGTGGCATAGTGCATAACACAGTATAACATACTGGGTAACCAAAAGGTCAGTAGTTCAAATCCACTGGGCACTCTGAAGGATAAAGGCGGCAGTCTCCTTTCATAGCTTTACAATCTTGGAAACACAACAGAGGGTCTCAATAAGTCAGAACTGACTCAGCACCAGTGGGGTTTGGTTCTTGGCTTAAATTAAAAAAAAAAAAAAGTTATATGCCCTAGAAAAGCAATGAATAATAATAGTCTAAAGTTTGGATTTTTCAAAGTACAGCTTTATTACCAATAAAAATTTTATTGCTCATGATGACAGTGAAAGTATTTTGCTGGGCAGTTATGTGGAAAATTTTGAGAATATGTATAATTAATTTAGATAACTTATGCAACAGGAAAAAGCCTATCTTCCTTTATTACATCTATTGCCCTTGAATCGTTAAAGTATTATCTCAAGGATTCACTTGGCCTACAGAGAAGCAAGTTTTGACAATACCTTCACATGAGAAAAACGCTGTAATAAAAAAGAATAAAGACATGAAATTGTTTAAGGTTTCTTATCAACTATGCTGTCTCAAAGCTGAAATCATTAAGGTAAAAAAAAATGTGTCATGAACGCATTAGCTATATGTTAAACTGTTTTCACATACACATATCCTTTTCCGAAAAAATCTGAAAAGTGTTCAGTGGAGAGGCAGTTGAGAGTGGAGGAAATCAAAGACACCTGCTGATGACTGATTCTTGTTTGCTTCTGTAATAAGCACTGTGTAAACAAGCCCCAAGGACCCTTTTTACAAAGGCGGACTGCACTTAGGGATTATCAGACTACAAAAGGTGATTGTCAGGTTTTTAGAAACAAGAATCAACACTAAATAAGCATCTTGAAGCACAGTACTGAAAAACAGAAATTCTAGAAGAACCAGAACTCACCAGGACTAACCACTTAAATAACAGTACTCCAAACCAAATACCTGAAAGTCATCCAAAGGTTAAATGTACATGACTAAGCCAGGAGATGTGCTCAAATGTTGAGCCACATGACACTGGCTCCCAAACATAACCGTATCACTTTTTAGGTCTGCATGCAGTAAGGATGTTACCTCATTCTGTATTCGGAATAAACCTTTCCTACTCATAAAAATGCAGCTGTATGCTACTCTTATTTAAGAGTAATTGTCTTCCCAGTTTTAGATGAGTTTGCATCTGAACTTATTTTAATTTTTTTTTTGGTATATTCTCAGTAGTGGAAAAAAAAATTAAAATTTTACAAGACACAAAGTAGTTGTCTGACTGCAATTCAGACTAAATGAAAGACTGTGTGTGTACAGGATTTGATTACATGACAACCTAATCATAGCGTAACAAATCTAGGCAACCTGTACCTTCCTGAGATTCATCTGTTTTGACATAATTTTCCTTTTGTAGTTGAACACAAAATGAATGAAATCTCCTGGCAAAAAGAACTCATAGTTCATGCATCAAGTGCTTTGAATAATGCTTTAAGTCAAACAGCACGCAATTCAAACACTCAAAAAATAAATTACATTTTTTCCTTCAAGGCAAAAATTCTCAGGACTAAAAACCAAACAAAAAACACTGTTAATTTTATCAACTCTACTTTTCTATTTTTCAGTCAACATATAGGCTGATACTATCTCAATTCTCCAATTTTCTACTTGTCTTCAAAATATAAACTCTTAGAGAAACTGGAATTCATTTAAAAACTGCTCTGCAATTAATGAGCGTCATCATCATTGGCACAAGAGATAGATTTTCTCCACCAGGCCAGTGGTACCCTCACAATGCCGGGACTTCTCAAATGCTTTCATAAAAAGTAAGCAGACATTCAAAGACTCTCAATATCCTTTCCAATAGCTTGTGATTCAACAACCAAAACCCTATGAAAGCAAAACCTTTGCTAATAAACTCGTTAAGTTAATTAAACTGATGGCTCAAAGCATTAAGAACAGCAACAAGGTACAGCTGTTAGTAAATGGAGCAGTGTCACATTTTCGAGTTCTATCTGACCACAATTTCACCAAGAAAGAAGTTCATGCCTTACGGTACCAAAATGCAGCCACATGAGACTATGCAGCATCCTGGTCTGAAGCAGATTTGCCTGATTTTGCCAATGACTACTTAAGAAAGATGCGATGCAAACAGAAACATGGACATAAGCCCTCCCTTCTTACTGATGTGCTCCGTAGCACCTGTGCCAAGAAATGTCTCCACTTCATCAATAAATTTGCGGACCAAATTAATAAGAAAACGCTGTTATGTTACTGCGCCTACTCTGGAGCTCTCTGGCTTTGCAAAGCCTTGGGAGTAAATGCAATAGGAAATGCTATACTAGTCATTAAATGTGTCAGAACTCCAGTTTATGTAATCCGATTGCATTAACTATCCTGCATGAGAGATTTCTTCGCGAATTTTTTCAGCATTTTCTAGCCACTTCACTCCAGTTATCGCAATGTGAAGGAAGAAACCAGTTTCCTTCATAGGACACCAAATATGCATCAAGCCAGCACTTGTTCGACTAGTTTCCTTTGTCCCTACCTGAAAACTGCACACCCTAAGGCATCAAAGCTACCCTGGCCCAGAACGCCTTTCTCTCCTTTTCCTATCTTCTGCATCCCTAATTCCACGTCGAACCACCTAAAGCTAGCCACACGTGAAAGCAGTCAGCATCCTTCCTGGCTACCCAAAGCAGGTGGTTAAGTGAATACCTACCAATTCGTCTGGGCCCGGGACACACACACATTCTCCTGTCATCACAACACGGAGCCGACAACATCCACAACCCGCGCGGACAGCAGCAGCGACAGCAGCACCGGCCCATTGAAAGCAAGGCAGAGATGCTCATTAGAGGAGGAGGCGGCGGCGGAGGCGGGAGCGGAGGAGGGGCGAGGGCTCGCTCCAGCCGGGTGAATGGGGCTGGGAGGGGGAAGAGGATGGAGGCGGCAGAAAGGGGTGGGGAGGAGGAGGAAACCAAACAAACAAACCCACCCCGCGGGAGCCACAGAGTCACAACCACAGCCCGGCCCGGCGGTCCCAGCGCGCCCCGGGATCGGTCCCTCCATCCAGCCCGGGCGCGCAGCCCACGGCGCTCCGCATCCGCTAGCCGCCCCACCCGGCCCCACGCGGCGCTGGCTGCGGTCCAGACATCAGGGGCCGCCCTGCGGCGGGATGCCCGCGGGGTGTCAAGTGAGTCCCGGACAAAGACCCCCCCCGCACCTGGAGCAGCACAGCCTCTCTGCAGAGCCCCCTCCCGCAGGTCCCCAAGGTGGGCCCGAGGATGACAGCGGGCGCGACGAGCCCAGCGGAGGACAGAGGGCACCCCCCACCAAGATCGCCCTGCAGCCCCCCGCGCACCTGGCGCTCTGGGATCGTCCTTCCCCCCGCCCCGGCCGCCGACGGCCCGCCCTCTGCACCTCTCGCCACCGCGACTCCCCACATGCGCGGAGCGCCCCTGTCTGGCTGCCCTCCTCATAACTTTGATCGGCTGGAAGCGAATTCGGACGGGGCGGCTGGGTGCCCGCGGCAGGGAATACGAACCGGGCTCGGCAGGGGACACGCCGCTCCTCTCCGGTGAGGCGGCAGAGGCGGTAGCCAGCACTTCCTCCACGCAGCCACACGCGACTCCCCGGAGCTCGACCCCTGGCCCCCGGCCGGCCCACTCCGCGCCCAAGTACCGCCGGGCCGCCACCCTGCCCCGCCCGCACGTTCGGGCCGGAGTGCTTCTCGCCTCCTGATTGGCTGCGCAGTGGCGGGTGGGCGGGGAGCAGGAGGGCGGGCCGCGGCCGGGAGGGCGGGGGCGGAAGAACAGCGCTGTCCCCGCCAGCTTTGTGACGTCATGGGGGTCAGACAATCCCTTCCATTCGGCGCGAGCCGACCATTGGTTCCACCGACCGGCTTCACGTGACCGCGCCCGCCCGGGTGGAAGGTGGGGCTGCGCTGCGCCGGGAGTCCGCGATCGGCAGCCGGGCGAGGTTGCCAGGTTTGGCGGCGAGCCCGGCAGAGGGAGCGCCAGGGTAGCACCAGCATCTCCACGCGCGTGGGGCGCCCGGGGTGGCTTGCTCCCCCGCCGGCTGGCCTTCCGCGAATCCCTGGCACCTCGGCGGGGAGCCAGCGGCGCAGATAGCCTGCTCTATGGGGAGCCTACGCGGTTCCTCTTCGCTGGGCCGCTTTCCAGGCTAAATACTCACCTTGCAGCTCAGCTCAGCAGAGTTAGACGGCGTGACAGCGTCAGGCTCTGTTGCTTCTGATGAGTGCTGTTTTTTCTGGACCTCTTAGGTCCTGGAGAGGAAACGCATCTTAACAGCAGCACGCGGAAGTTGTGTGAAGGAATTCTTTCCCTTTTAAAATAAGCCTTTCTCTCCTTTCCCTTGAATGGCTACAAAAGGATAGGGTGTTGCCCGCATAAATGCTAAGAACTCTGGACTTCGGGTCACAGGACCTGCATCCAAGTTAACATCCCAGTAAGTCATTCCATTCCATGAGACCAAGTCTCCCCAAGGGAACTCTGGAGATAGGCTTGATGACTAGCCTTGCAACCAGATCTGAGTCATTGAAAGTGATCACTAATAGAAGCTCCCTTGAAGGCGTCAGTCAGGTGGACCATTGCACTTGTTTGTCATGCTCCCTAGGGTTAATGTATCTACTTTAGATTTATTATATGTCCGTACATACTAGTCAATAAAGTTCACAAAGTGAGGGAATATGGCCTCCGAATAAAATTGACGATGTTAACTGACATGTTCTGTGTAGCACTATGAAGTTCTCCTTAAGCCTGGGTTTTCGGTAATAAAAACCTGTACAACAAAGAGAAAGGACCCTATCCTCCCTTATCCTAAATCGATATATAAGAATATATTGTTTTTATGTACCATTGTGGCAGAATTGACTCATTGCTGATTCTCCAGCAAATTTTCACATGTAAATCGCATGAGAGGTGATTACCAATCTTTGTCTCACAGAGCAGCTGGTAGATTAGAATTTTGTTCCCTTGACTTGGCAGAGCTGCTCCTTACCACTAGGCCACCAGAGCCCCCTTTGTAATTCATTAGTAGAGAAATTTTTTATCCCCAGTCTCCCCAAAGATTGTCTTGACTGGTCACCCTGGCTGCCTTTCCAGTTTATTATATACATCCTCTACTTTTCAAATAAACTTACTAAGCATTTTTTGTTGCTCTTTTTTTCCTGATGGTTTTAGGTATCTGGATTTTTCTGGTCTCACAGATGCAGTATAGAATGATACAGCGATAAAGAATGTAGCTGGGAGCAATAATAACTTGAAGTATTTGTCTAACAAATAATGTTGTTACTGTTAAATTGGAACCAACCCATAGCTGAGCTGACCCTCTGGCTGGTAATCACACAGGAGGAGATTGCCCATCCTTTTCCTGTGAACAAATAATAAACACTTTTTAAATTGGGGGGGGGGGAGATTGTATCTGGGGCCAGACTGTCTGGATTCCAGTGTCAGTTCTGCTGTTCACTACATGATCTTGTTGTTCTGTGTCATTAAGTTACTTGCAACTCATAGCAACCCTATGTCTAACAGCCCTGACATCTGCTCTATCCTTGTCTCTGACACATTTACCCTCATTATGCCAATCACTGAGTCAATCCATCTCCTCAAGGGTCGAGTATCATCAAGGGTCTTCTTTTCTTGTGCTGTCCCTTCATCCATTCAAGCATGATGTCCCTCTCCAAGGACTGGACCCTCCTCCAACATGCCCAAATATCAGATGAAGCCTCAGAATCCTTCCCTCCAAGGAGCAACATGGTATCACCATCTCCAGGATGAATCTGTTTGTTTTCCTGGTATTCCATGGTGTATTCAATACTCTTTTTCAACACCGCAGTTCAAAAGCATCAGTTCTCTATCATCCCTAGTCATTGTCCAGCTTTCTGATGCATAGCAAGTAATTGCAAAGACTATGGCCTGGGTCAGGCACACCTTACTCTCCAGACTGACATCATTGCTCTTCAGTACTCTGGAACGGTCAATGATAGCAGACTTCTCTAATGCAATTCAACATTTGATTTCCTGGCTGCTGGTACCAAGAGTGTCAATTGTGGAGTCAAGGAAACTAAAGCTATTAATATCAATATCTTTACCATCTAACGTACTGCTGCCAATCGGCCTATTGGTGAGAATCTTTGTTTTCTTAATGTTGAGCTTCAACTTATATTGAAGGCTGCATTCCTTGACCTTTTGCAGCTAGTGCTTCAGGTCCTCTTCAGTTTCAGCAAGCAGGGTTGTGTCATCAGCATAATGCAGGTTGTTGATCTTATGTGCTTTTAGGCAACCTCTTTCTGCTTTAGTATTGACTCATATAGTGTATAAGTAAACTGATACACATAATGTTCTCGTTAAGTAGGTGACTCCTGGTAACACTGTACATGTGGTGGTGTTAGTTGTGGTTAGTTGTGGAGCTCAGGTACAATAGAATCCCCAGAGTCAACAAGATTTTTCTTGGCTTTTCCTTAGAAGTAGACCACCAAGCCTAGGATAAGTTTGAGGTCTCTACTAAAGCCTGTTTAGCATCACAGAAACATGAAGTTTCCCCTGACAGATAAGACGTATGCTTAAGCTGCATAAGGAGAGACTGGTCCTTGAAGAAGGACATCATGCGCAGAAAGGTGGAGGGGAACAGCAGGAGAGGAAGGCCTGGATGAGATGGATTGATACAGTGTCTGGGGCAATAGGATTTGGTGTGTCAGAATTAGTGAAACTGGCTTAGGACAGGGAAGGGTCAGAGCTGCTAAACATAGGGTTGCTATGGTCACAGGTGGCTCAGCAGCACATAACAACACCATACTAAATTGGTTGTGGTTGGGGTTTTTTTGTTTTGTTGTTGTTTTTAATTTAAGCCCCTTGCTTAGAGCCAACGAGACCTCGGGGATGGTCTTTGTATTTAAAAGTTGGTTGTCATATTTTGGAGGAACATTCTTCTAATTAGTACAGCACTCTTCTATCAGTATGCTGAACTGAGCTGTCCTGGGGTTGCTGTGATGCTGAAGCTTGTGTCATTGGGGTGTCAAATGCCATAACAGTTACCCATGGTGGACATTGTTTGGCGGAGCTCCCAGTTTAAGACAGATTTGGAAGCAGGAATGCCATCCACTTCCTAAACAACATGCCTCTGGAAACTATAAATTTTTGTAAATGACAATAGTTATAAAAAGCTTCAGGCCTTTTGTTCATTGGTCGCTTTGAGTCGTGTTTGACTCAAGGGTAATCAACAACAACAACGTGCTTAAGCTGAGCTCTAGAGGCCCTAGTGGCGAGAAGCTGCACTGCAATTCCAAAGACGTGGTTTGAATGCATCAGCTTCTCTGTGGGAGAGTCATGAGCAGGCTCTTCTCATGCGATTTAACTGACTCTGAAAACCCTCGGGAGGATCAGTTATGGGTTGGTTCTGACTCGTGTGTTGGTACAACAGCAACATTGTTAAGATGAAGGAAGTAAAGAACATTCAAGCCTTGAGTTGCAATACTTAAAGATGTTATGGGCAAAAAAAAGAAAAGAAAAAAGATGCTATGGGCAGAATATAGGATGATCCAGAAAGGAGTACACAGTCACTGAACCAAAAATAATTGCCTAACAGAAGAATTTCATGAAACAGCATATGATCAAGAAGCAATGGTGATGAAGGAGGAAATTCAAGCTGCTCTGAAGGAATTGGCAAAAAATAAGGCCCCAGGAATTCAGAAAAGAACAACTGACATATTTCAACGAATAGATGCAGCCCTGTATGTGCTCATCAGGTTGTGCCAAGAAATCTGGAGGACAGCATAGAAAAGATCCATGCTTATTCCCATTCCCCCAAAAGGTAATCCAACAGAGTATGGAAA